CCCCCCCCCAATTCAATAATAGACTGTTTCAAGCATAATCTAGAATAGTGATTCTCAAACTTTAGACCTAAGGCACTCTTTCCATCCCCTTTCCCCAAACTTTTTTCTGCAGTTAGCAGCACTCTGTTTCAAAAATTAATTAATTTATTATTAGGGGTGCACTGATAGACATTTTTTGGGTCGATACTGATGGCTGATTTTTTAATGAGCCATATTAGCTGATTGGGGATCCAATTGCGGATATGGAGCTTGGCAGCTTGGAGACCAGTGTCTGGCTAGTAAGTCTATCGTAGGGGGAGCTGCAGCTGGGCAGGGGCAGGGAGCTTGGGGCGGGGACTGGTGGGAGCAGGGAGCCCGTGCCAGGGGGGTGGCAGGAAAGTGGAGCTCAGGTGGGCAGAGGGTGGGTATAAGGAAGGTTGGGGGGGTGTAGGGACCGCCCCTCACACTCTCCCCACATGGTGCAGAGCCCCTGCCACTAGTAGCAGTAGCAGCAGCAGGTAAGGGCCCTTAGGGCACTTGTGGCCTGCACATGGGCTGCAAAGATCGCAGAACTGGACATGGCTTCAAGGAGCACAGCCAGGCCAGCAGGCCTGTATTGCACAGGGCTCCCTGCAGCACTCATGTACCACCAGGAGGAAGCCCCATGCAATGGAGCCAGCTGCCTTTCCTGCTCCTTGTCGCCATGAAAGCAGGAGGTGAGGCTCCCCACCACTTCTGGCAGAGTCCTGGGACCTGCAAGTGGAGGGCAGCCAGCTCTATTATGTGGAGCTTTACCCCAGTGACACACAAGTGCTGGAGGCTGCATGTGTAGCATGAGGAGCCTCACATGATAGGGGTGGGCCAGCCTGGCTGTGCTCCTTGGCACCATGTGCAGCTCTAGCCGGAGCCGCACACTGCCGGACAGCAGCGCCTGTGTGGTCCATGAGTGCCCTGAGGAGCTCTGACTGCTGCCGCCAGTGACAGGGGCTGTGCGTGAAGACTGCTGCCGCCAGTGACGGGCTCTGCATGAACCCTCTCTCACACTCCACAAACTCCACACACCCACACTCTGCCCCCACAACCCTCCCACATATACACACACCCCGCAACATACTCTACCCCCCACACATAGTCACCTTCTGTCACAACCCCCACCCACACACACCCCACACACTTCCCCCACACACAATATACAAGAGTAAGACTTTATTTTTG